ATATGTATGTATATATATATATGTATGTATATATGTATGTATATATGTATGTATATATGTGTATGTATATTATATAAAATAAAAACATTATCTGCACTTACTCTGCTCACTCAAATAATGTTTTGGGTTATTTTAAATCATTGTGGAAACACTGGGGAAAGAATAATTTGGATTTATTGCTTGTGTTGCCACAGTCAGAACAGGTGTGATAGTTAAAAGTTGATGAACTTTATCACTTTAATGGTTTACTAGTATTGTATGAAGATATTGCATTTACAGGAATGTTGCATTCATGTGAGGAAGTTTTCACTAGCCAAGTTCCCATCTTGTTATTTTATCTATAAACACCTTGTTAAGCATCATGTGTTTACTATACATTCAATTGCCAGTTTATTAGGAACACCTAGTCACAACTAACGCAATCCATAGCTCTGCAATAAATCCTCTATTAATGAAGGTTATATATATAAATTTTTGATGAAACAGTTTTAAAGGTGTTTATTCAATTGTGTGGTCTCATTTTGTCCACCCCATTAATATGAGTAAAGGAAGGTTCACCTCCTCTAAAACAGTTTCAACAACATCATGAGATTTATTGCCGGACTGTTTTATTAGACTGCATTTACTTTAGCTAGGTATAGCTAATAAACTGGCAATTATCCAACAATACATATACAGAGACATAAAAATGTATTCACGTCGCCCCCTCAGTTTAAGCCTTGAATCTTCAGTAAAACCATGAAGTAACACTGCAGCATAGTGACCAAAGTGTTTCCGTCTCTCCAGCACGGTGTCTTGTCCAAAGAGTTTGTGGAGCTGATGGGTCACTGTAACACCATCCAGGCCCAGTACAGAGACCGCAATGTGGAGAGGATACAGAGGCAACTCAAAATCAGTGAGTACATGAAGCACGGCTGTGATTTCTTCATCTGCGTGTTCAGTTGTGTGGTCTTCTCCTTTCTCTGACTGTCACTTACTAACATGAAGTCTTTACTTTTAATACACCATATTAAGCATTCAGACACACATATAATGATTTAATAACGGTTTGTAACACACTTTAATGTAGTTTGTAATGTAACTCCTATTACAGCTGTTTATACAGCAGCCTCCACTTATGGCTGCCCACAGGAGGCGTTACATTAATTAACAATTATATATGCTTACAACTACATTTTACTGTGTTTATAAACTATCTAATAAATGTTTATATGCTGCTTATCAATGCTAAATATGGAGGTTAAAGTAAAGTGTCAGGAAAGATACAGTCAGTGTTAATTTCACCAGCATATTTGCACTTAGTTACAGTCTGTTGATGAAAAGGATTTAGCTTAGTCATTATATTAACTTTATCCAATATACACTGACTAAAGGTACGGCCTTAGAAACGCAGGACTCTCCCGGATAATATAACAATCATATTGGCCACCAGTTTTATTTGTTTCAACTTTTGTTTAGGAGAAATCATTTTGGCTCAAAATACTACAATACCCATGAACCTTTCTCAACACCGTCCTTTTTAGCTTTCATCCTGCCTTTAGCATGTAACAGAATTTTAAACTCTGTGACTGGATGTTTCTTACTAAAATGCACCTTAACAGTCAGGAGTTAAATTCTACCTCAGCTTATTTATGTAGCGGGTCGTACCCTGAACATTTAGTAAAAAAATATATATATATATATTTTCTAACACAGTTGTTAATATTTTAGACTGATGATATAAACGAGAGAGTTTCCTGATGATCTGCAGCTGTAGAAGAGCTCCAGCTGTGAGTCACGTTAACTTTGTATCTGAGAAAAATTACTGGGGCTTTAACCTCCTGAAATAGTGAAGAAACACGCTGGAGAAATAACTTCTCCATTTCTAAACACAGTGCTGCAGTGTTTCTGTTGGCTCAGTCATTATTTCAAGCAAAAAATATCCAAGATTTGATAGTTTCTGATTCTGAGAAGTGAGAATTTCCTTTTTATTTTTGTTATTACAATAAATTTAACATTTTTGAGGTTTGAACTGTTGGACAAAGAGTTTTAATGACATCACATTGTTCCTCTGATGTTTTTATACTGTGTGTGTGTGTGTGTGTGTGTGTGTGTGTGTGTGTGTGTCTTGACCAACTGTTCCTGTTTTTTTAGTATAATCAACTTTTATTGTATTTGGCTAAGTCTGTGTGTATTTATAGCGTAATCTTTTTTTATCTTTTTAGGGTGACGCATTACCACCAGTCCATGCTCAGTAAAGTTGAATTAAATAAAAATAATCGTTAGTTGCAGCCTTATATCGTGGTCTATCTTATTCAGTTCAACTATAGAGAAAAAAACACGAGCTTCACAGAAGAATGACGCGAGGAGAACAACGCTTTTGTTTTGTTTTTTAATTTTCATTTTCAGTGTCTCTCCTCTGCAACATTTCTCAAAAACATGAACATCCTGTACCCACAAACACTGATCTAACGTGCTTCTCACTTTCAGCCGGAACCAACGTGACAGACGAGGAGCTGGATACTATGCTCGAGAGTGGGCAGACGGATGTTTTCACACAAAATGTGAGTGCACGCGAGATGAAAGGCTGATGTTGGAAACCACAACACAACAGCACCTGCTGTAGCAGAACACATTTACAGTTTGCTGGTGTTTTCCATCAACCACCATCTGGTAGTAGTAGTAGTAGTAGTAGTAGTAGTGACGTAGTAGTGACTTTAAGTGTTTGAAATGATGACAGATTTGCTCTGTTGTAGCTTCACTAGTTGCTCAAACTGGACAACACATTTGGTAAGCATTCAAAAGAATAAGAATTTGATGCCTTTAGTGTTTCGGTAGCTCCTAGTGTGAAGGGCCCGGCTAGCTTTTGATGTCTGTTAGAGACAGTGGTGGAAAGTAACTAAGTACTGTACTATTTTGAGGTACTTATCTTCATTTGAAATGTCACTACATTTATCTGATAGCTCTAGTTAGTCTATAGATTAAAATTTTACACAAACACACAATATGTTTACAGTTCATAGCCTTTTTTTTGCTTGTGACATGGTACAAAACTTTCAGCTTTACAAAGAAACTGCAAAAAGTAGTCCATAAAAATAAATGTTTATAGCAGAACTTATAGTACTATAGTTTTTTCTTCTTTCCTCTCCCATTAATCATCTCGCAACCCCTCAGATTAATTTTGTGACCACTTGTAGGGGCCCGACCCCTAGGTTGGGAACCACTGGACCGAACTGTATATACAGTAGTTAAAACTAGCTCCACCTTGAGCAGCTACAACAGTAAAATGCTGCTACATTTATGATTATGATGCTTTTGTACTTTTATGATTATGAATTGAAGGCTTTTACTTGTAACAGTGTATTTTTACAAGGCTGTATTGGTACTTTTACTTATGGATCGCAGTACTTCTTCCACCACTGGTCATAGATGAAACCCTGAAGCCTCGTGACTGTTGGAAGATCTTTCTATTGTCCATAATGCAGCTAATAAATATCTGCACTGTGTTGTACAGATCCTTATTGACGCTAAAGCTACAAAGCAGGCTCTGAATGAAATTGAGTCCCGACACGATGAGATCCTGAAGCTGGAGAAGAGCATCAGAGATCTGCACGACATGTTCCAGTACCTCGCCATGGAGGTGGAGGCTCAGGTAAAGCAAACGCTGATGAAGTCTCTCAGGCTTGTTTGGGTTACAAAGAGTTATCTGATTCTGAAGCATTTGCCTCCTGCAGGGGGAGATGGTCAACCGGATTGAAACCAACATCAACCAGTCTTCAAACTATGTGGAGAAAGCAAAGGACAACACAGCGAAAGCTGTAACATATCAGCAGAAAGCACGCAAGGTACAACGTGGTTTCACATTAAATGTTTAAGATACCATGAAATGGACACTTTAACTTACTGGAAAACATTTTAGTGGGCAAAGGTACAGTTCTGACTTCTACCAGTCCGTATCAAAACAAATAGTCTTTCTCTCCTTAAACTGATTTTCCACTGGTTTACTCTCTGGACACTGTCCCGTCCCAACAGGAATAAATTGGCCATTTCATTTATCTTATCTTAATGTTGCACCTGATTCATTTTGCTTGTGTATTAACTGATCTATTTGTGTCTCCTTCAATGTAGAAAAAGATTTGGATCGCGATCTGTTTGGCCATCCTCATCCTCATCCTAGTCATCTCATTGGTCTCCACCTTCGGCTCCTAACTCCAGGCAGTGAGAGTTGGCTGTAGACCTGTGTGGCAGAAGCACATTCTGGGTTTCATGTAAAAAATATTCATAATTTAGCATGTACGGGTGAATTAAGAGAGCATATTATGTGTTATCATCCCTCTGCATTTGTTATTTTCACATTTTATATTCCTCTAATCCTCCTAATAGGACTTTTGTTTTTTTAAAGAGATGTGCTTTCTGTTGTTTTAACTTTCAAATGACTACAATCTTGCCTACATTTCAACTTCCACTCAAGAGGTAGCGCTGCTGGTTTATGGAGTCCCCCGGTCAGATTCTGGTCTGCAACACAAAGACCAGGACAATGTATGAACTGTTACGTCAGCCCCTCTTCCCCTCCTAAATAGAAAAAAGAGGAAATAAGTGGCCTTGAGAAAGGCACAATACAGTATTGAAATCCAACATTGCGCTGTTCATACTGTACTCAGGAAACTGTGCGTTCTTGTTACCTTGTTGTTTCTGGATCAATTGGAGACGTAAATAACAATTGTAATAGATTAGGGCTTTCTTTTATAGGAATATAGTAAATAGACTAATATAAATGTACATAACCTATAATGCTGGTGATTATGACATTCTTTATGCAGATGACTTTTTTTTAAACTTGAAAGTTGTTTCGTTACTGCCTACATGTAACAAGTGTAAATACAGATCTTTTTTTTGTGAAACAGCCCCCCCCCCTTCCCCTCCCTCCCACCATCCCCTCCCTTTATCTTAATCTTACGTGTGTCTGCACTGCAATAAAAAGGCCTACGGCCCACTTTTATTTGTCCTACCAGTCTGTATTTATGATTTGAACAATGTTGTGTAAGCTGCTACGAGATAATTCTGCAACAACACATAATGAAGCCTTTTCAAAACGGTGCCTTCTTCTTTATGTACACGTCAACAGCTCAAGTTGAGTTTGTGATGTTGAGCACTAACATTGTAAAAGATGGAGTGAGTTTTTTTTTTTTTATTGTTTATATTTGTTTGTATTCAAACTGCAGTCTTTCAGCTGGGAGTTCTTGCATCTTAGCCTGACACGTATACTCTTTAGACTTTATTTTTCCTTCACTTGTTTGTCACATTGTGCAAAGTCTCCATTTGTCCTGCTAGTTTTGCGACTTAAATTCAATTCTGTGGGGAAAAATTGGAAAGAAGTGAACCCAGAAACCAATTTATGGAGACAAACGGTACCTGCTGTCCACTACAACATGACAAATGTGTAACGAAAAGTAAACCAAACCCGTTTTATTGTTGTCCAGTACTCATTCAAGTCTCCTTTGGAAACAAAAGCTGCCTGTCTGCACAGTTACGAGCAGAAAAAGAATGACTTTGCTACTGTGTAATATTATGGCTGTTGAATTTTGCATCACATTTATTTTAATATAGATTTGTTTTTAAAATAAAGTACTGCCATCGTCTATTATTCTGTTTGTCTTGTATCATTAATTGTAAGACCTTGTTGGTTCGTTGTTACACAGACTGAAAAGTAATTTTCCCCCCATCGAAGCCTTTCTTTAAAGCAAGTACCTAATAATAATAATAATAATGTCTGAAACAAACCAGTATTTCACCCACAATTAAACACATTTTCAACACAAGAAAAATGGCAACTAATTTTTGGTCTTTTTATTCAACTGTAATTGTCTTAATTTTTCAAGTAAAACAATGTGGAATTACAAGGGATCAAAGGAATGCAACAAATGAAGAGAGAAATCATAAGACCATCACCATAAACTACCCATCCAACCCAACCCCCCACCCCAACCCACATTTGCTCAAAGTAGCTTAGACAAGTCCAAAAGTAAATCGACAATTTACAGTCATCTGGAACTGTACCAGTAATTTTATTCACATATTTTGTCCAAGTATTTTTACATGAACGAAGAGCAATGAAGTGATGGTGACAAAAATTCAGGTGAAAAATAAAACAATTTGGTAGCACTGACGCACATGGTGCTTTCCTTGTTTTCTGGGGAGGATCTTTTTTTGTGTGTGTGTTTTGTTTGGCTTTTTTAAACAACGAGAGAAGCTCGACACCCCTGCTTCAGGTGCTTCACAAGGCAATCTGAGGTTTAAACCCATTTGGCCAAATAGGCACTCTTAAATTTCAATAACTTTGCCTTTTCTATCTAAATACAAGACAAAGTGGGCCGTAACAATAACTGCCTTTGGGAAGATTAGGAAAAAGCTAATTGGATTTTTCCTGCTCCGGGTCTGTGGTGGGGAGCAAACTTAAATTAATACATTTTTCGAGCTGTAGAGATACATCATAAAAGGTACCAGGAACCAATTAATTGACTGAAGTTGATGTAAAAATGTATTACTACACCACAATGTACTCAAAAGCCGAGGGCCACATTATCAGATGTGCAAATGAGAAATGCAAGGCTGGATTTAAAAATGAATCCAATGAACAGAAACTGACATGAAAAAAGGGGCCCAAGCAAAGACAAGCTCCAGCATAGTGCAGCAAAGATCACATTGACAGATCAGTTCTCTTCCTAATACCCTGGAAGAAATAATAAAATATGCATAACTTATCAACTGACTACAAAGAAACAATAGTCAGGGACAGCTGACGAAATTTTCAAAACCAAACTTTCTAAAACCTCCAACTTACAATACAACTGGTCACTCAAAAGTTTTTTATGTCACACAAATGACTTTTCATTTATAACCCTAATAAGAGGGTGCTGTATAATCCCATCTTAACACATAAGATCTGAGTTTTCCAGTCTTTAATGATTACAGTACATAATGTGAACTAACAACCTTCCTTTATTACCTGTTGCACCTTTATCCCACTCAAGTCCCAGTGGTGAATCTATCCACTGTACTGGGCTCCGTCTGTTTACGGACGCACAACGACGGCGCCACATTTTTTTAACTCTCAGTCCGGCATCCCTGAACCTTCCCCCAGCTGACAATGGCTGAGCTGGTGAGGGGACCAGCTCTAATTGGAAAGGGAGAGGGCCCAAGAGGCAGGGGAGGTCCCTGGCTTGTGCAGCACACAGTTCCCTTGCATTCATTAGAGTGCAGACAAAGCAGCAACCTTGGAGCTTGTGACACGCTCCCTTATCGTGCTCCGCAACAACACTCTCACTTTTAGTTTTTCTCTTTGGCACTCTGATCATGTTTTGTTGTGACGATGTTGACCAGAAGAGGAGCGGGTGTTTGCGGCCGGTGACCGGGCCTGCGCCGCCGCCAGTGCTGCGACACTACGCAGCACCCTGTCCGGCGTCCCCTCTGTTCCCGAACTGCTGGTCACCTCCTGCGAGAGCTTTTGAGACCTCCTGCTGTCCTGCCGGCTCTCCCTTTGCTGTCCCCGCTTCTCTTTTGTGTGTCTGCTCTTTGCCCGCTCTGAGCTGCGCTCGCTGCCGGAGGAAGCGGCACGGGACTCTCTGTGTTCCGTGTTTTGAGAGCTGATGCTGTGGGTACGCTGGCTGCTGTTGCTGCTGCTGCGGCTTCGGCTGCTGCGTCCACCACCGTCGCCCTCGCCATCACTGCTCATGCTGCTGCAGGCGCTGTGGCCCCGGGACGACGACTGCGCCTCTACCTCGCCTTCTTTTCCCCCTGACGACTTCCTACTCCCCCGCTCCTTTTCCTCTGGTTTGGGCCTCTTGTACTCCATTTCCAGGGGTGGAACCAGAGAACCGGGGCATTGTCTGGTGGAGCGGGAACCAGAGCGACTTGTCTGATTGGGTGTTGAGGGCTTGCTGCCACTGCTTTTATTATTAGAAAGAGTTACAGAGTTACTCTGAGGAGAGGCTGGTACACTTTTGCTTTTAGGCTTTTGGTTCTTATCAGAAGAGGAGGCAGGAGAGGTCCCAGCAGCCTTAGTCCCCGAGTCTTTCCGAGTGGTGTGGCCAGGTGTATCCACCCTGCCTTTCATTGCTAGGAGCTTGGCTGCTGCATTGAGTGCCGAGCACCTCTTTCCCAGAACTTCAGGCTCAGGAGCTAAGGAGGGAGCGCTGTTTGTCTGAGCTTTACAGTCTTGTGAAGGCTGAGATCCTGCAGACTTCCTGGTGATCCTAACAGAAGAAGTATCACTGCCAGACTCTCCACCCGTGGATATGTTGGCATTGTTTGATGCATTTCTATCAGAGCTGTGTGCAGGTTTCTTTCCTTGCCGGTTGTTGCCCTTTTCCCTCTCCGGCTCTTGTCCCCTGTGCTTGGCTGAGCGAGTCAACCGTTGCTCCTTCCTGCTCTCGCCGTTGTCCGAGTCCGAGGAGGAAGAGGAAGCCCTGGAACGCCTTCTCCGAGAGGTAGCGTCTGTGAGATCCTTCTCGCCGCCTTCCTCTTTCTTCTCCCCACCCTCTTCTTTTTTCTCCTCCCTCCCTTCTTCTGAGGTGACATCCATTCGCCTCTTCTTGGCAGGATGTCTATTCTCGTAAGTCCTCTTGTGGTGAGCATGGCGAGTGAGAGTAGTTGTAGAGCACCCAGATGATGGCGAGGAGGAGCGAGTGGACTCCTGGCTACTCTGGCGACTAAGAGGCCTTTTCTGATCTTGAGTAGTTTGCTCCACTGCCTGTTGCTCAGGTTCTTCTTTTTGAGGCGTAGTTGTGGACTGTGCTTCTCCACCGGCTTCCTCCCTTCCTGACTCAACGTCTTTGGTCTCAGAGGAACTTTCCACCTTTCTCCTTTTAGGCTGAGACTTACAGATGTCGTCGTCGTCCTCCTCCTCCTCCTCCTCCTCGCTAGTCCTAGCTTCAGCCTCCACAGCATCGACTTCCATTTCTGTCACCTTATCCAGCTCTCTTTTTGATGCAGACACTTCCTGCGTTTGCTCTAAAGATTGATTCTCAGTTGAAACACTAGAAGGAGCAGATGCCGGGCCCTCTGCCGGGCCCTCTGCCGGGCCCTCTGCCGGGCCCTCTGCCGGGCCCTCTGCCGGGCCCTCTGCCGGGCCCTCTGCCGGGCCCTCTGCCGACAGCTCTGGGGAAACATCTGTGGACGCAGAGCTTTGCGAAACGACTGCAGAAGTTTTTGTGGTGGACACAGGAGGAACCGTTTTCGCTGTGACAGCTGCGGCTGCTTCCGTTACTAACACAGGAGTGGCTGTGGTAGTGTTTACTTGGGGAGTTGTGACAACATTTGTGGTAGAAACTGTGACAGACATTCCTGGGGAAGATGTAGTTGTGGCTGTTGGTAATGGAGCTGATGTAGCACCTGTAGAAATTGTTACTGTAGGTGGGATCTTTTCTGCAGTTGTGGCAGGGGGAGCTGAAGTTGTGTGATCTTTGGAAGGGGCTGCTGCTACAGCGGTTGTTACCTGGACTCCTTCTGTCGAGGGTGATGTGGTTACTGTAACCGTCTCTGCCTTGGCTGTGGTAGTTACACTGACAGTTGTTATAGATGGGGGCGGAGTGCAGGTCAGGGAAGGTGCAGCAGGAGGTTTTTCTGAGGACGTGCCAGCTACTGGTACAGTTGTTACTTGTGCCTGTGCAGCCACTTGAATTGTTGTTGTTTTTGGTGAGGTTGAGACTGGTTTGGAAGTCATCACATTATTCCTTGCTTGGGCTGGAGAAGATGCAACTGTATTTACAGCAGGTGATGAGGCTGTTGCTACTAGTGGTGGTGTCGTAGTAGCATTATCAGACACGGTTGAACTTGCAGTGTGAACTGTGCCCTGACCAGTTGAGTTTAATGAACTAGCTTGGACGGTTTTTACTGTAGTTGTCATAGTTGCTGCTGCAGCGGGGGAAGACGTTGAGGCTGGTGAAGCTGTAGCTGGGCTAGTAGCTGTAGCTGAAACCTTTTGGGTGGCAGCTGGAGCGGAGGTTACAGTAGCTTGAGTTGATGTTGTAGATGACAAATCAGAGGCTTGCGTCACAGCTGTAGTTTTAGCTGTGACTGATTTAACTGTAGTGGTGACTGTTGGTGTACCGCTGACTGTTTCTGATATTAAGTTAATAGCTGTTGTGGCAGGGACTGATGTTGGAACAGCTTTGACTGCCACGGCAGACACACAGGATGGAGTGGTAGCAGCTAGTGTAGCAGCTGTGGTGGTTTTGGCAGAGTCTGGTCCTGTTGTTTTCACAGTTGTAGAAACTAAAGGCTTTGGCTCTACAGGAGCTTTAGAAGCTGTGGAAACCACAAGTGTTGGTTTTACACCTGGAAGAGTTGATGTGACAGTGACAACGGGTGGCAATTGAGATGTGGTAGTGTGGGTAGCACTGACTGGTACAGTGGCTGACGTGGAAAGTGTGACAGAAGATGCAGAGGAAACCTGGGTTGATGCTTTGTCTGGCCTTGGAACAGTAGCAGGGGCTGAACTAACTACTTGTTCTGTGTCTGATGTGGAGGAGGCCACGGGGAGGGGTGTGGTCACCTGGGGCGCAGGTGCCGTGGGTGCTTGGGCTGAAGCGGAGATTGGTCCAGATGTTTGATCTGTTGTTGTTGAGGCTTGAGGTGGATTTGGAG